CTCTGAGGTCCCCTTCTGTGTGCCCGGAACTATGCAAGACTTTCAGGGCACTCAAATAAATGAAAGACCCACTTCTGAAGAATTTTAAGTCTCCTTTGAGATCTTCATTCCTGGCATGATGAAGGTAGTCAAAAGTTGATTGAAAACGAAAATGCCTTGGGATGCCTGGGTGGTTTAGTAGGTTAAGCCTCTGTCTTGCGCTCAGGTCATGATCTTAGGGTCCTGGGATCGAGTCCCTCTTCCCCTGCGTGTGTGCGCGTTCGTGCTCTCTCACTAACAAGTAAGGAGAAAAAAAATCTTTTTTAAATTTTTGGCACCGAGGTATTTCCCGAGAGGGTTCTTTTGAGGTGAAATCAAAGTAATCAGTCACAAAATAAATCAATTTAGTTGCTGAGAGCCCCATCTGTGACATAGCCATCATACACAGTCAGAAAGTAGACTTTCCTGCAGATTTGCAAAGAACCAATAGTCTTTTTTTTTTTTTAAAGATTTTATTTATTCATTTGACAGAGACACAGCGAGAGCAGGAACACAAGCAGGGGGAGTGGGAGAGGGAGAAGCAGGTCTCCTGCTGAGCAGGGAGCCTGATGTGGGACTCGATCCCAGGACCCTAGGATCATGACCTGAGCTGAAGGCAGACGCTTAACGACTGAGCCACCCAGGCGCCCAAGAACCAATAGTCTTAATAGCAAAGTGAAAATGGTTAGTTACTATACTCGTAATAATAATGGCTAATATTGGGCGCCTGGGTGGCTCAGATGGTTGGGCGTCTGCCTTCGGCTCAGGTCATGATCCCGGAGCCCTGGGATCGGGTCCCGCATCGGGCCTTGGGAGCCTGCTTCTCCCTCTGTCTCTCTCTCTCTCTTTCTCTCTGTCTCTCATGAATAAATAAAAATAAAAAAAATCTTTAAAAAAGAATGGCTAATATTTACTGAGTGCTATTATATGCAAGGTATCATGGTAAGTGGATTATCTCGCTGATCCTCAAAGCAACCGTTAAAGACAAGGAAACTGATACCTTGTGGTGGAGTGAGGACTAGGATAAGGCATAAGCTACACAGAAAGCAATAGAGTAGTCTATGGGATAATTTGCAATATATCTCTGTAGGAGAGAAAAGGAGAATGAAGAATAAAAGCAGCCATAAAATGGGTTCAAGCGCAACCTGTGGCATTAATGGTTTTTCCAGTCATGGCTTATATGGGAATGGAACCTGGAACCCCGGCCTCTTAAACGTACGTTAAATCGGCTCAGCTGCTCGAGTCTTAAACAAATGAACACATTATTTCCCTCTCCCTCTGCAATTGAAAATCAGATTCTGCTTAGTATAGGAGGTGGGGCCCCAACCCATAAGAAGAAGACATGACAGTGCAGACTCACCCTCTGAAATGGAGCTCCTTGCCCTAAAGAGTCAAACCAAGACAGAGGAATGAGGTGGGTGAAGTGCCTCCAGGTGCCAGGGAATGACACAGAAAGGCCCTCTGGGCTTGGAAGTTTGACTTGGATCACATGGGATACAGCTGTGGCTCATGCCCCTGAAGGCTAGATTCCAAGGTGGCAGTGTGTTATAGTGGAACAAATGTGTGCCTTAGCTTCACAAAGATACAGGTCCACAACCTAAAATCCTGGCTCTGCCTCTTAGTAGCAGTGTGACTTCAAACACTTCAGTTTCATTGCATTTATGTGTTAACTGTGATAAAACCTCATACCGCCCAACAAGATGAAAACACTTATTGCCATTTTACAGATGTGAAAACTGAGATTCAGAAGTTAAATAAATCATGTAAGACATTGGAATGGCTCCAAGACCATTGCCTTTTCCATTGTACCATATTGCATACCCTCCCTTGCTCGACTAATTTTGTATAACCTCCCTGAGCTGTCTCTTCTAGTTTGTTTGCCTAAGCAAATTGAACAAGGAATTTGAGTCTCCTGAACATGACATGGCAGAATGTAAGGTAAAATCCAACAACACTGATCAGAGGCAAAACATCTGCCTATGATGTTTTGAAAGAATTTGAAAAAAGAAAACTAATCAAAATAACCAAAAGCTCTTAAGTTAGGGCAGATCACTCACTCACCATCTTATTCCCAGTTCTTCTTCATTAATAACTGATGACTTAATCATGATAATCCAGAGAAATAGTCTCCATAAAAATATCATGCATTAGTAGGTCTCATCAATGCTACATATTTACTTGGCCCCTTGAGAATCTTGTTTCAACTGGTTAGCTGTGTAAACATGAGTGAGTTACTTGACTTTTCTGAGTCTCATATTTCTTATCTGTATAAAAGAATAATATATAGCTCATAAAGTTGTTCTGAGAATGAACTGAGTATGTGGAAAGCACCTAGAAGGACATGTGCTACATCCATGTTTTGGTTTTATGTTCACCCAGTGTGGACCATCTTGTCTTCTGTGGAATTCTGACCAAAACAGCCCAGCGTCAGTTGCCTAGGTAAAGTAAATGGTCATTTCATTTTCTGTGTTCATAAGGTATAGATGTACTGGTCCCAGCCCCCTAGTGTCCTAGAACCAAGGATTCTGACCTTCATTTGGCCTTAGCCCTTGGCTCTTTGGCCATTCCAGTCAGCCATGGACACAGCTCTATTTGGAGAGAACACCTGCTGGCAAGTGGGTTCCCCACAGTCTCACATGGGCCCTGCACCACAGCCCAGAACACTGCCCCAGTTCATGGTTGCCCTCATATGGCACGGACCCACTCTGAACCTCATAGACCCCTCCAGATCTTCTCACCAATCTTTCCTCACATGTCACAGCCCTCTGTCTTCTGTTAAACAAAGAGGCCATTAAACTGAGGTGGTTCTAATGTCTTGGCAGCCTGTGTAAGCAAACCAAAACCTAAGCCTATAGTGTCTCAAGGTTAAGAAATCAGAATCCGGGGCTCCTGGGTGGCTTGGTTAAGCAACTGCCTTCAGCTTATGTTATGATTCCCAGGGTCCTGGGATCGAGCCCCGTGTCAGGCTCCCTGCTTAACAGGGGATTCTGCTTCTTGCTTCCCTCCCCCTACTTGTGCTCACGCTTGCTCTCTCTCTCGAATAAATAAATGAAATCTTAAGAAAAAAAATCATAATCTAAGGCCAACCAAACAGCCAAATAGGCTTTCTCAAATATGGAAACCCCTTAAGCTATCGCCAATCAAATAATATTGCTTTCCTTCTATCTCTTCTTTATGAAGGTCTTTCCTTGAGATCCTGACAGTAGAGTGCTCCTAACCACTTCTGGTTTGATGCTACTAAATTAGAATCAGGTTCTGTTCAAACTCTTAAAATGTTTAATATGCCCCAGTTTATCTTTTAACACTCCTTAGCCTAAAATTTTGCTTCAGGAAAGAGGTCACCAATGCAAACCTTTTAAGTTTCTCTAAACCTGGCCACGTGTCACTTGGCGAGTTTGTTAAAACTAGATTCCCAAGCCTGGTCCCAGATGTACTGAATTAGAATCTCCAGAGGTGATGGCTGGAAATCCCTATTAAGCAATGAGTTCTCCAAGTGATGTAGAGGCACCTAGTTCAGCTCCTGTTCATATACCGGTGCTTAAGAACAAAAGTGAATTAAACTCAGCCCTACTCTGTGGTGCTCTCTGATGCAACAGACGCTGTTTTTCCTACTCACACTATTTTTTAAAAAGATTTAATTATTTATTGGACAGAGAAAGAGAGACAGAGAGCATAAGCAGGGGGAGCAGCAGAAGGAAAGGAAGAAGCAGGCTCCTGTGCTGAGCAGGGGGCATGATGCAGGGACTCCATCCCAGGACCCCAGGATCATGATGTGAGCCTAAGGCAGACGCTTAACCGGCTGAGCCACCCAGGTGCCCCTACTCACACTATTTTTTTTTTTTAAGATTTTATTTATTTGACAGAGACACAGAGAGGGAACACAAGCAGGGGGAGTGGAACAGGGAGAAGCAGGCTTCCCGCGGAGCAGGGAGCCCGATATGGGGCTCGATCCCAGGACCCCGGGATCATGACCTGAGCCAAAGGCAGACGCTTAACAACTAAGCCACTCAGGCGCCCCCACACTATTTTTTAATAAGCCTTCAAAGGACAAACATTTTTCTAGGTACAATAGATTTATATATCATTGTCTTTCCTCTCCAAAGATGAAAATAGTCCAGTGTGAGTGGGGGATGTGACCAACAAGATTGATGGTCCTCCCCACAAAAGACGTGTGCATGTCAGTCTGCCACTGAGGAAGGCTTTGCCTTGGCTGTCCCTCCATTGACCTCTGCTCACTCACAACCTTGACTGCAATCCTTCCAGCAACAGGCCAGCAGCTCTGCTTGCCCAGATGCTCACGCAGAGAAAACATCACATGATGCTCTGGCTTGGCGAACACTACAAAGGCTGTCCTGGAAGCTGCTTTCTCCAACCTACGCCGAGGTCCTGCTGGAGGTCTGTCTTGAGATGAGCAGGGTCTCTTCGTGGTGGCTTGATTTCAAGCTCTCCGGGAGTGAACATTTGCAGCCCTTGAATGGCAAGAAGCCTGCGTGGCAAGTGCCGGTGTCCATGAAATAGCTATGAAGTGCATGTGTGGAAGTCTGTGTGGTGTTTGGATATGAAATCTCAGAGACAGTTTCTGCAAAGCAAACCTTTTACGTTTCCAGAACTTTCCCAGTGTGCGAGCTCACCGTGGCAGTCTTCCAGAGCACTTTCTGGATTAATTGCTCTACTGAGTCGTCTCCATAGCAGATCTTGAACTCCTGTGCAGGTGAGGACACACCTGACCTTGCCTGCTTTCAGGAAGTGGAGTCAGAGTTGTCCATCCAGAGGCCAAGAGAGCTTATTCTACCCTAGAGACATTGTTGTATCCTAATAGAGCTTTTCCCCCTCTAATCACACTAACAAGTGAATCAACCCTGCAAAAGATATGGGAAGAATTTTTTAAAAACAAAGCCAAAAAACTTTGCCTTTGACTCATACCTTTTCAATTTAAGTTACTCACTGGGTTAAGCCTCTGTTTTTATCCGTGCCTCACTGTGTCATTCTGCATTTCTTTTCCCTCTGTAAATCACTGAAAGGGCAAGGGAGGGGAGGAAGCCACAAAATACATTAAATACAGACATTTTCTTAAATTAAAAAGTCCTCAAATGTCTCAGAGTTAGCTTGGTGTTTTGATTTGAATTGCTGTTTTTGTAGCACTTCATGGCAAGTAAACAGGAAATTAAGACAATCTGAACTGTTCAAAGGGCAAGAAGAAACTGACCAGTAGGTTCCAACTAACCAGGGTGCTTTAGGAAATGACCCCACCCACAGGCTCTCAGAGCTCAGTCTGCCGACTCAGGACAAAGAATTTCCTCTCTACCCCCAGGCCAATTTGTTGTGTTCTCAGACAGCTCCCACGTTTTACTGATTCAAGGGGCTGTGTAGGGACAACATAATAACTCCATTTAACTGCTGAGGGAGTTTTAGGGAGGAAAATTCCCCTGCAAGTGCAGGTGAGGCTGGATGCTGAGGACAAAGAATGCCTCCACGGAGTGATGTCAGGCTACCTCCTGTTAGAGCCCCCTTGCCTCAGGGAGATTGTTTTCCCTTTCTTTTCCAACCTGAATCAAACTTCCAGCATCACAGTAGCTTCTTTGAATTAGGGCTGTGGTTCTCAAATGCTGGCGTGCATCAGAATCACTCAGAGGGCTTGTTAAAACAAAGATTGCTGGGCCCCAAGCCTGGAATTTCTGACTCATCACTCATTAAGTCTATGGTGGAGCCCCACAAATTATATTTCTAAGAGGTTCCCAGATGTTGCTCATGCTGTTGGCCCTGGGATCATGCTTTGAGAACCAATGAATTAGGTTATTATGAGAATTGAGGTTACAAAGCAAATATCTTCTAGAAGTAGCAACTTAAAATGTTAATAACTGGCACATAATAGAGCATGAGCTAAGCTTAAATGGATCCTGAATTAATAATAACTACCATTTATTAAGTGCTCTCTAGGAACGCCTGGGTGGCTCAGTCGTTGAGCGTCTGCCTTAATCCCACCTCAACGGGCCTGGGCCTGGGCTCAAACTCAGGACCCCAAGATCAAGAGCCGCATGTTCTACCGACTGAGCCAGCCAGGCATCCCTCTACATTCCTTATTAGCTCTCCAAGAGATTCTGATATACATCAAAGTTTGAGAATTAATACCTAAGCAGTGTTTCTCAAATTTGAATATGCATATGAATCACCTGAGGATTTAATAAATCAGAGTGGGGCCTAAGATTGCACATTTACAAAACATTTTTCCGAAGATTTTTTTAAAGTCATCTCTACACCCAAGGTGGGGCTTGAACTCACAACCCCTGAGGTCAAGAGTCACATGCTCTACCGACTCAGCCAGCCAGGTGCCCCCTGAGACTATACATTTTGAACAAGCTTTCTGGTGATGCTGATGAGAAGCAAAGTCTGTGAGTGATGGTTTTCAAGCATTTTTTTTTTTTAAAGCATTGCAACTCTGTCTTTAACAAAATTTTAGGGAAGACCTCTATAACACAATACTTGTCTCCAGCCAGGGGCCCCCGAGTCACGTCTATTACCCTCTGCGGTTCAGGGGAACACTGGTTAAATACTGTCCCAATACTGGATGGTTTCCAAAAACGCAGACCCAGGCCTTTGTACGTTTCACTGAAGACCAGGGCTTGTGGTCATGAGTCCTCTGGGAGTTTTTTAAAGCAATTTTTTTATAATTTAGAAGTTTCCTCAGTTTGTTTTTAATAAGCTAGGCTGGTTTCCTGATAGTCGCTGGAAACAAAAACCTTTTAAAAATGAATGGGGCTTGGGACATCTGGGTGGCTCAGTCGGTTAAGTGTCTGCCTTCGGCTCAGGTCATGATCCCCACATCAGGCTCCCTGCTTATTTCAGACCTGCTGGTGGACAAGAATTGGAAAGCATGTGTCCTGCTGTCCTCAGAGAAGCAACGGACCAGGAGAAGAAAGAAAGAATAGGCAGTGGAGGGAGACTCCAGACCCAATTCCTGCCAGTGGAAGTGTTGGATGGAGAGCTGGCCCAAACTGGGAGGCTCTCCTGTGGGGTTTACTGATAAGAAGACTTCATTTCCACTCCTTGCCTCTGAGGTCAGCCATGTCTGACTGGGAAGGTGGTTCTGTGTGTGTGTGTGTCCATCCTGTCTGTAGTTTGGGGTTGATAATATTCCCTGGGGGTTTTCCCAAAGCCCCAAACCAAGGGGGTCCCTAGAAGACATGGCAAGGATTCCTCGTGAAGCAGCCCATGCTACTCACTGGGTCAGCACTCACAGCTCTGTGGTCATCCCTGCAGCCCTTCCCAGGAGTAGCCTCCACGTGCAGCTAGGAGCCTCCTAGCCGAGATCAGTCCTGAGCATAGGACTGATCCTTACACCAACTCCCCTTTAGTACCCCCATTTCCCCCACGGGACATATCCACCCTTGCAAACTGGAAGCAGACGCGTTGGCTCTTTGCAAGCCAACAGATTCCCTCTAACACCTGGCTACTGCAAGTGTGGTCAGACACGCAGCCTCGATGTCACCGGCATCACCTGGACCTTGTTAAAAGTGCAAAGTCTCAGATCCTCCCACACCTACCAAATCAGAATCTAGTTTTAACAAGGTCCCAGGTGACTTGTATGGACAATAAAGTTTGAGAAGGTCTGCTTGAAAGCTGCAGTTCTCCGGCTTAGCTCTCCTTTAGAATCACCTAAGGAGCTTTGAAAAATCCCGATGCCCAGACTTATCCCAGACCAATTAAATCAGATTTCATGGGGATAAAGACCAGACATCAATTACTTTTAAGCTCTCAAGGTGACTCACTGTCCAGCAGGGCTGGGAACCAGTCTCTGAAGTGAAGGATGAAGCAGCTGCCTCTACTGAACCGTATTTACATTCTCCTGTGGGACCCTAGGAGACTGAAAAGACTTCCGACTGGAAAGGAATCTGTCTCAACCGGTGGAATCTGAGGGGAGGCATTCCAGTAGGGGAGAAAAGTTGTGGGAGGGGAGGCCAAGAGCCTCTCACATCACCAAGTCAGCTTTGATTCCTACTTCATTACATCACCCGAAAGAGCAACAACAAAAATTCTCTTCTATTTTATCCATGAGAAAAATGACTTACCCATTCCAAGTGTACTTCCAGAGCAGGTTACTGTAATGAATAACAACAAAAGCATTTACAACATATTAACTGACATATGTAAGATGGTGAAGATATTTTTAAAAAAGATGGTGAAGATATAACTTAAAGAATAAGGGGATAGTCAAGCAAAGAATAAATAAGAACCAGCTTGAGTGATAAGAGGAGATAGCTACTCGCAGTATGACTTGGGGAGGTCACTTCACTTTTCTGTGTTTTAGTTTATCTGTAAAGTGGTAAGAATTAGAACGCCAACCTCATAAGGTCGTTACAGGGATCAACTGAGTTAGTGTATGTAAAGCCCTTAGGATAGTGCCAGGCACATACCCTCAATAAACAATAGTCATTAGTATCATTTATAGTGTTGTCCTAATTATCAAAGGAAGGTATCACTGATATTGAAAAAAAGGAAACCCAAAAAACAAAACCAAAAAATTTCCCCCAGACACCTGGTTTTTACCAGAGAGATGGATTCCCTAACTTGAGTCTAGACACCCAATCCTTACTAAAGTGGAATGACAGCAGCCTTGAGATGGCATCCCACCAGAGGGTATTAGAGCTCTAGCTAACAGGGACTTCTGGTGGCTAACATACTGGCTGTAGTATCTTGGGAAACACAGAAACTCATTAATTCATTAATTTTTTAATTTAAAATATATTGGGTGATAGTTATGTGCTATATGTTGAGAGTCCAGAGATGACCATTTATTAGGGAAAATAACACATTTTCAACTCACAGTCATATGGTGTGGTAAAGACGTGGGTCATATGGTGTCACAAAGGAGGGAGCAAGAAGATGAAATCAGCCTCTAGGAATTGGAGAAGACTTCACAGAGGAGAGGAGATTTGTGCTGGTGGAGTTCTCTTGGTGGAGGTGAAATTCCAGGCAAAGAGGAGAGTACTGCATCAGCTCAGAAGCACGATATGGCATGGAATATGTGTGTGCTGACGGCAGATGTGTGTGAACGATCATTACCTGAGCCAAAGGCAGACACTTAACCGATTGAGCCACCCAGGCACCCCTATTTTTAATTTTTTTAATGTGGCTACTAGAAAATTTAAATCTTTTCATACATGGCTTGCATTAAATATCTATTGCACAATGCAGGTGTAGGAAGACCAACTACAGACAAACTAGGAGGAGCCTTGAATGCCACGCTCAAACTACTGACTTTTATCCTATTGGGAATTGGAACACTTTGAGGACTTTGAAGCATAGAAGAAACACAATCAGATCAGTGTCCTGGAATGACAACTCTGGTAATAGTATGGAGGCTGGCATGAACTCAGGAAGACAAGACTGGTGCAGTATTCTAGGGTAGAAGTGGTGAGGACCTATCATATAACTGTAGGTGTAGGAGAGAGAAGAGAATTTGGATTTAAAAGCCATCATGAGGGGTGACTGGGTGGCTCAGTTGGTCTAGCAGCTGCCTTTGGCTCAGGTCATGACCTTAGAGTCCTGGGACTGAGCCCCCCCATCGGGCTCCCTGCTCAGCGGGGAGTCTACTTCTCTCTGCTCCTCCCCCTCTTCGTCTGTGCTCTCTCTCTCTCTCTCTCAAATAAATAAAAAAAAATCTTTGAAAAAAATAAATAAAAACCATCATGAGGGGTGCTTGGCTGGCTCAGTTGGAAGAGCATGTGACTCTTGAATTTGGGGTTGTGAGTTTGAGCCCCATGTTGGGTGCAGAGGTTACTTAAAAAGTTAAAAAAAAAAAAACCATCATGAAGTGAACAGGACAGGACTTGGAGACCCCTGAGATATGGAGGGTGAGGGAGAGGGAAGCTGGTTTCCAGCTCTCATACCCGAAACAAGGGTGCCAGGAGGAAGATTAGAAATTGCAGGAGAAGATCAGGACTTCTGTTTGGCCCTGAGGAGTTGAAGTGCCTGGGGCACCTCCAGGTAGAGGTATAGGAATATGAATTTAGGGGTTAGAAGAAGAGAAGTGTTGGGATGCCTGGGTGGCTTAGTTGGTTAAGCATCTGCCTTCGGCTTGGGTCATGATCCCAGGATCCTGGGATGGAGCCCTGCATTGGGCTCCCGGCTCAGTGGAGAGTCTGCTTCTCCCTCTGCCCCTCCTCCACTTGTGCTCTCCCTCTCTCTGACAAATAAATAAATGAAGCGTTATAGATAGAGATATGGGAGCCTGGAAACTTTGTTTTTTTCATTTATAAATCGGAGATAATAAACTTTGTTGAACCTAACCATAGAGTTATTTTGAACATTCAATGAGATACTGAATGTGAAAATACTTGATAAACTATAAAACATAATGCAGATATGATGAAGTGCTGTTATTGAGCGAAAGTCTCTTTTTCCTGAAGAGCTGATCCTCACCCTAAGAAGCTATTCCTGTCCCTTCCCATAGGGCAGTACTCTGGGCCAGCTTGTCCTGTGGACAAGATAATGAAAAAACAAGGAATCAGAGCATGGCAGCCAAGGGCGGCAAGAACACCAGCAAGAGAAGCTGGCCTGGTTCTGTCCAGGGGCCATTTGCGTCTTCTCGTCACCTACACATAATTGGGAATTTTAGATTCAGGTTATCAGTAAAGATTTTTTTTTAAAGATTTTATTTATTTATTTAAGAGAGAGAGAGAAAGCACGAGTAGGGGGAGGGGCGGGGGAGAAGCAGGCTCCCCGCTGAGCAGGGAGCCCCATGTGGGACTTGATCCCAGGACCCCAGGATCATGACCTGAGCTCAAGGTAAACGCCCAACCTACTGAGCCTCCTAGGCACCCCATCAGTAAAGATTTCCAAGCCCATACTTATTCCTCTTCCTGTGATCACCTATAAAATTCTAGGGCCTTATCATCTCTTTTCTTTTAAAAATTTTTTTTAGAAATATATGACTATGTCCTGGGCAAGGTAGCAGAAGGTGCTGGTACGCAGAGCAGGAGAACTGCTAATGTTTCTCCACCAGCTCTGGTGAGATGGCAGTTGCTGACAGTCTTGTTTTGTGATCACAGTCTGCCTGCCCACTCATATTTCCAAACCTAGTTTATGATTTATAAGTTCATTTTTTCCTGATCCTCCGACTTCTCCTCAGTTATAAGTCTGAACTTGTGCAAAGAAAGATTCAAGTCTCTTAATTTCCAACGTTTCAGGGTGTCTTTCATTATCTCTGAGACTATGTTAAAATCTATTCCCAAATCTCAAAGCAGAAGATCATTTTAAATCTGCCTTACTATTTAAACAGCAAGCATCTGGTCCGTTTTCTGAAAAAGAAAGGGACAACGGAGAGAGGAGTGTCGCCGAATCACATGATAAGAAAGCGTCACAATTCCAAAGAAGCTTGAGGTCCCCATAGCCAGAATCCACCCGCAGGATGTAAAAAGTTCCCACCTTGTTGACCTTCCTACATAGCAAATAAGTGTGATTGCTCTGAGTCTAAATTCACAGATTGAGTTCAGAGTTAGTTTTAAATAAAGGGTTGTAACTTAATCTACCTGAATATATTTTTTGGGGGCAGAAAGTAAGCTTCAGTCCTGTCTCAGCAACTGGTGAGACCATCACGGTATATACATCCCCACAGGGTATCTCGGTGACATCACAAAAACTGAGGCCAGCGCTTGGGGCGCACGTGAAAATGCCTTTGGAACCATAGAGGTCAGTGCTGTAATTGGCAGAGCCCCTAGACGCTTGCCAGTAGATGCGAATGCCATTAGGGCCCAGCCTGTATAATTTCACTCCCAAAGGGCAGCAGGCACCTGAAGGATAAAAACAAACAGACACAAATCACTTACTCCACCATCGGATAAACATGGCCCTTATTACTATGGGGAAAGAATATAAGTAACCTAAATAATACAGGATTGGAGCATTCTTTGAAGGGGTACTCAGGTTCTTTCCATGAGTAGAAATCCATGTGTGCTGGCGAGGTGGGCCATGCATTTTTAATAGAGAAGAGTGGTGGGTCCAAAAGTCCCCACTTGGCAGATCCATATTGCATCTCAAACTATGTGAGTCAAATGCACAGGATCCTTGTCTAGAGCTTTCACGGTGCCCTAGTTCCATGTGACTTTAGCGGGATTGAATTTAAATTGGCTGCGTTCAGCTTTAATTGGAAAGACCTATTTTGCTGGCTGAGTAGCATGACACCTGGGAAGTAGTCACTTACACCGCGGTCCAGTGACCAGGCTTTGCTCATCCACACTTTGTCCATGCGAGCTCCCTAGGTCCTTCTTTTTTTCTTTTCTAAATGCCTTGAGCAGGTCACACATTCTGTGTCAGGCACGGCACCAAATGGTGGGTTACTCAGTAACTAAGATAAAAATGTTGTTGTATAATGATTAAAAAATTCAGTTATAGATAATCAGGTTCATTGGATTTAGTCTTTCCTTTTTTTAAAAAAAACAAAACAAAACAAAAAGTTTTTTTACATGTGAAGATAAGCAGTGGGCCATATTCCCAGAACTGGGCATCAGGGTTAGAATTTAGGTAGCAAATCTAATGGAAAAAAAGGGATCCAAAGAAAGTATGAAACGGCTTACTTGTGTATAGCATGTTATAAATGCTTTCACATTATAGTTATTACCATTTCTCTTACCACTGAGGAAACTGGGTCAGGGAAGATAAGGCAATGCAGCTTATAAGAAGCCATGTCTTTAGGCTCTGGTTGAAGACTCTTTCTACTGCCCCTGAGGTGGCAAAATTATATTTCAGCTCTCCCGTTCCATGCTCCCGGGGCAGATACAACTAACTGATCATTGTGCTCTTTCTCATTAAAAAGGCATTTTTAGGAGTTTTCTTTTCTCTTCTTTTCTTTTTCCTTTTCTTTTTTCTTTTCCAAAACAGTGCTCCAAGCAGCCACTTCAGTGGGCCAGAATCATACAAGAGAATCTTATTTGCTAAACCTGTACCGCTTCTACCTTCCCCTGCTACTCCCTAATGGTTTGGTCTTTGTGAAGAACAAGATCCAAAACCGCCAGTAGACAGTGCTCTTTCAGCCTGTTGAAGTAAGAAACCAGAGAAGGGACTGGCATGGTTTAGAAGAGAGAGGTAGTAGCATAATATGATGAGAAGAAAAGAATTCAAGGGGCACCTGGGTGGCTCAGTCGTCAAGCATCTGCCTTCGGCTCAGGTCGTGATCCCAGGATCCTGGGTTTGAGCCCCGCATCAAGCTCCCTGCTCAGCAGGAAGCCTGCTTCTCCCTCTCCCACTCCCCCTGCTTGTGTTCCCTCTCTTGCTGTGTCTCTCTCTGTCAAATAAATAAAAATAAAAATCTTAAAAAAAAAAAAAAGAAAACAAAAGAATTCAAGCCAAACAGAATGTGTGACCTCGATGCTTTCTGAGAACTCTGCCAGACTGAGTTACTCTGTGCTGCGAGGAGCCGTGCCATACAAAAATAGGTCCTCCCTTCAGGAAGAGTATACCTGAACTGTGTTACCAAGGGAATCAATTCACCAACCAACAACAGAAGCCTCTGAAGCTTTGAGGTTCTAAGTCAAGAGGAAAACTGTAAACATTTTAGAAAGTAACCTGAATTGATAAAGCTAGCTAGCTGGAGAGGTAGCATCTTTTTAGATGAGAAGGAGGGGCGTGTGTCTGGACTTATAATAGTCAGAATCCTTACTGGTATTCCAGAGCTGGGGTTTAAAAGAAGTCACTTACTGGAGGAGTAACTTTGGTAGGTGCAGTCTGCAGTCAACCCAGTGGCACTAATCGCTTTTAATACCACCGTGTAATTGACGCCACAAGAGATGCAACCCAGGAGGCACTGGTTTTGATGGGTGAGACACTTCGACTGTCCGGTGTGCGACTCCAGAACTGTCACATAGGTTTGGGCCCCAGTCCCAACAGTCCAGCTCACATTGATTAACGACTGGGTGACCTGAGTTACTGTCAGACCAGCTGGACAGCACGGCACTTAGGTGGGGAAAAAGAGAAAGAATTGGGAATTTACTGCGGAAAACAACCAAGAATGGTATTTTGTCTGTATTTCATTCAATATCCTAAATTTCTCAAACCTTCCATTGTTAAGCAAAATCTCATTTTGTTAAGCAAAATCTCATTCCCTCGGATACGTTATTTAACATCAAGTGTACATAGGGGGTGCTTTTCTCAAGAACGTGGAGCACTAACTAGCTGTGGGTAATGTGAGCTCCAATTTTTTTCAGAATAAGGAAGAAATCCTTTGTTGTTCCCCAACCTTAGCAATTTCAGTTGCAAATTTCAAAGCAATGGCTGTGTTCACCTCTTCTCTCAATGTAACATTTTATAGACTTTACAATTAAATGTATTTTGCCTTTTTCATGCATTTCATAGTGCATTATTGATATAAAAGCTTGTAGTATTTTTAGCCACCTAAGAATATCACGGCCAATTCTCAATTTTTCAGGGGCCCATGATTCAGGATATAGGTTATCTAGAATCTTCCTGAGTATTGGGCATTGTCTCTGTTCTGCTGCTTTTTATGTTCCAACTTTTATAGTCCAAAGTGCCATCCTTTGTACATAAGAGAAAATAATGTCCAAAGGCTTTACGTAATTTGCTAAATTTGCCTTACACCCAGCAGTATGAAGCAGGAACAGCATGCTCTTACCAAGCTCTTACTATGTATCAGGCACCTTGTGGATTGCTTGCAGCATTAACTTTCATACCCTGCCCCACGCCGTGCCCCCTCCCAGGAACCCACGATGCCCCTTTTACCAATTAGCAAACTGAACCTCAGAAAGCATTTTCTACAGAAAGATTTGAAAGGGCTGAGCCAAAGAAATAAAAAATAAGCCAGCTCATTTGGCCACTTGCTAGCTGTTTTGGGAGGTTATGTCACGGAGGAGTATGAATTCAAACACATGTTTTGTAGACTCCATGTACCCCTCCTTTGAGGTCAGCATATGACTATATTAGAGTCTTCTGATGACATTTTTACAGAAACCGTGTCCCAGGGTTGCAAGTCTTATTTTCTGAGACTGGGGCTGTTTATGAGTTTAACATATTTCTGTCACACTCCGGGCAGATCAAATGAGAAAGTTCATGTCTTAGAACAGTATCTAAGGACCACACTGAAGTCAACATTCAGGCTGGTGGCTGCTACCGACCTGTTTCTAGGGGCACGCTGTAGCTGGGCAGGCTCCGGCCGGCCTGTGTCTCCGCCACCACGGTGACGGAGAACACCGAGCCACAGGGCAAGCCCGCCATGGCGCAGGACTCTCCCCTGCTGCTGCACCGAAACAGCCCTGTCTCCCCCTGGGCTGTCACCGTGTAAGTGGCATCATCATTGGTGGGTCGCCAGTGCACGTTAATTGTGGAGAATGCATCCTTCGAAACGCTTTTTATCTCAGGACTGCAAGGAGCTAAGAGAGTTTATTCATTGAAACAGTGTGAGTCAGAAATATCAGGTGTGCCATTTGATCTAAAACTGATCTTTCCCCCAAATGAGATCATCACTACTTTCAACCAGACCAAGCACGGAGGACAGAGTCATAGAGCCTTTGTGGGGAAACATGGTATTATCTTCCTATAGCGTCGGACTCACTGGAAAAGGTTAAGAGGCATTTTGAGCTCCAAAAGCAAAAGCAATTAAGACAAACATTTGGGGTCTTGAGGCTCCTGGGTGGCTCAGTTGGTTAAGTGTCCAACTCTTTCTTTTTTTTTAAAAGATTTTATTCATTTATTTGAGAGACAGAGAGAGAGAGCACAAGCAGGGGGTAGGGGCAGAGGGAGAGGGTGAAGCAGACCCCCCCGCTGAGCGGGGAGCATGACAGGGGGCTTGATCTCAGGATCCTGAGATCACAACCTGAGTTGAAGGCAGACACTTAACCGACTGAGCCACCCAGGCACCCGGCATCCAACTCTTTCTTTTTTCTTAATTAAAGAGTGAAAATTTATTTTTATATCCTTCAACTTGGGAAGTTTATGGGCAATCTGAACTTTTTTATTGGATTCAGATGCGTCCAACTCTTGATTTAGGCTCAGGTCATGATCTCAGGGCTGTGAGATCAAGCCCCGTGTGGGGCTCTGAGCTAGGTGTGGAGCCTCCTTAAGACTCTCTCTCTCCCTCTGCCCCTCCCCCCAGCAGCTCACTCTCTCTCTTTCTCTCTCCCTCTCTAAAAAAAGAAAGAAAGACAAATATTTGTGGGCTTAACCTTCATAGTGTGAATATGGATAAGTCCCCCAAAAGTCAGAGGAACTGAATGGCTGAAGTCATCACTGGGGAAACCTTCCACTCTTCCCATGACCTCCTTTTTGGTTTTCTTTTCTTCCCACTTCCCCTCTTCTACCTTCTCTTCGGCCTCTCTGTAGGAAGACAGGGGCTCTAATGGTCCCCACAGAGTGGCCTTACAGTTCTTACTGAATGCCCATCCTGAGGGGCGTAGCTGGGGTGAATTGTTCAAAGGTCAGTGAAGGAAGTCATAGCTGCATCATACCTGTGGTTATAAATTGGGAAGTACAGGACATATTGCTGCCCCGGACTTCGCTGAAGGAGTACACGGTGATGTTGTACTTGGTGTCGCACTCTAGAGCTGAGAGGGTGCAAGCAGGAGCAGTGTCATTGCACTCAACCACGGTGAACCCATCTACAGCCTTGGTTTCATAAAGTTCGGCACCGCGGACAGGAGACCAGACGATCTCTACTCTGTCACTGGAAACCAACACAGGGTTGATGTCGGTAGGACAACAGGGAGCTGGAAGCAGGAGCAGAGAGAGAATGGAGGTCAGTAAAGGAGCAATGATGTCAGAGGGACCCGACCTCCTGGTGCCCAGAGCCTCTGCCACCACTCTCTTAAATTGCTGCAGGAATCTCCATGGGACGACTGGGTGGCTCAGTCAGTTAGGCATCAGACTCTTGATTTTGGCTCAGGTCATGATCTCAGCATCATGAGATCAAGCCTGGCATTGGGCTCCGGCCTGGGCGTGGAGCCTGCTAAAGATTCTCTCTCCAGGAGACAAACCGTAAGAGACTCTTAATCTCAGGAAGCAAACTGAGGGGGGTGGGTAGGATGGGGTGGCTGGGTGATAGACATTGGGGAGGGTATGTGCTATGGTGGGTGCTGTGAATTGTGCAAGACTGTTGAATCACAGATCTGTACCTCTGAAGCAAATAATACATTATATGTTAAAATAAAATCAAATAAAATCCAAAGGGGTAGGGAAGAGTCTCTCTCTCCCTCTCCCTCTGTCCCTCCCCTCCCTCTCCCTCTCAAAAAAAAAAGAGAGAGAGAGAGAGAGAGAGAGAGAGAGAATCTCCTACAGATCTGTCCAGTTCCGATCTTGACCTAACACCCACTAAATAGAGGATAATTCCCCTATGCATGTGATGTCCAAGGTCATTACAAGCTGCATCCAGTCTACATGTTGAGCTGTGCCTCCCCATCGCCTGCCACACCAATTTTCTCTCTTCTCTCTCTCTCTTTTTTTTAAAGATTTTATTTATTTGAGAGAGAGAGAGCAAGAGAGAGAATGAGAGATCACAAGCAGGAAGGAGGGGTAGTGGGAGAGAGAGAAGCAGACTCCCCACTGAGCAGGGAGCCTAATGCGGGACTTGATCCCAGGACCTTGGGATCATGACCTGAGCTGAAGGCAGACACTTAGCCATCTGAGCCACCCAGGCGCCCTCACACCAGTCTTCTCAATTCCCCACCCCGCATATGCTCTCATTTACCTATGCCTCAAAGACCGCTAACCCTACACTGGAATGTTGTTCCCCTCTTCTGCATGAGAAAACTCATACCTGGTCTAGCTTCTGGATCCTATCAATCTTTCCTGACACTAACCAGATAAAACTGAGGGCTGGAGGAGGGGGAAGCATGATTGTATTAGTAGATCTTAGAAGAGACCCTATATTATGTCATGGATGAATTCTGACAAATGTCTAACTCAGCTTGGACTTTCTCTAGGATGCCCTTGCCCCACCTACATTCCATCCACCCTTCAATATTCAGGTCGAGGCCACTCCTTCTGGAAGGCCCTCCAGGCTCTTGAGACTTGATTGGTAGCCCCCTAATCCATATTCCAAAAGCACCAATTATTTGATTCCTTCATCTTGGTAAAATTTATTGTAATCCAGCTAGTAGCGTTATGTACATAATGATACAGTGTTCTTATTTGTCAGCATGGTTAATTAATTTCAAGTCACTCACTCCATTCATTCTTCAAAAATCAAGACTCTCCTATAGGCTGATCGCACTATGATAAGCATTGAGGATGAAGAGGTAAATAAAACAGTCCCTGCTCTAGAGAAGATCCAAGTCTAATGGAGGAGAATAACAGTAATAAGGATGCTAATAAAAATACTCTGCACTGTGCTTTGCCACATACAAAGACCTTTTCGTATTCATGCTCTCATTGTTTGTCCCATTTTGCAGTGGAGTATACTAAGAAACTAACAAGGTAAATGTCATTATCTTCATTTTACAAATGAGTTAGTGGTTGAGTTAGGCCTTAAACACAGGTGTCCTGCTGCAGAACCTTCCTCACCATGCCTTTGCAATTTCATCTCTGGTTTTGGGTCTTGGGGAAAGAGTGAACTCCTGAGATGGGATGACTGCATCCCCTTCGGCACCCTGCACAGGGGGCTGAACACTGAATAGATCTTGGTGGAGGTTTTAATTTCTCAGAGCAGGTGTGAACGACTATATTCTTTGCTCTCTTTTCACTCCTAAGCCTTGCATTCTTGTCAAGCTTGAGGCCAGGAAGCCAAAATTTCCTGATCTGGAAGGAATGTGAGAGCCAAGGTAGTCTATGTAAGTCAATTAGTGCAATAGGTGATCTATGCTGCTGTAGAGTTTAGTAACCTCAGCACTCCCTTTATAAGCATGAAGTGCAACTTACCTGTGGTGTAATTGAACACATCGCCCAGAGGACTCTGCCCTGCCTTGTTATAGGCAAAAACACTGATAAAGTAAGTGAAGCCACATTCAGATAAGAAATTGCACTGGGTGAGGGATGTGTTGCAGTGGACTTCCAAGCCATCATCACTCTTCACAAAGGCCACGTAGTAATCGCCCAGATCTACATCGGACCAAGCCACAGACAGGTGGCCTGGAGGATCTTCTTGGATGGTCACTCTTCCAGGGGCACAAGCAACTAGGAAATGGTACATAATGAACAGCTATCAGAGTCCTGCAGGAGATTTCCTTTGCATCTTTGCAATTGTCCAGGATACCGCAGGCGCCGGACAAGGAATAAATCAAATAGCATGTGCACAGCAACGAGACGTTCTCACGTGTTGTAAAACTTATCTCACACGGTACAGAAGCAGGCATGGATCCCCTTGGTTAATACCGCTGCGTTTCCGTGTGAAGGCAATGCCAGGATCAGCACAGCGTGAAGGAAGGAATTCAAAGGAAGCTTGTTCTTTTGATCTCTATGCTTTTAAGATTTTAGCCATCTCTAGTGGCACTCCTCCTAAAATAAATTTCACAATTCTGGAACCCAGGAAACACATAGCACTTTCTAAACATATTTCTTTTCTTGATCAGTGTGGGCCGTGCCCATGATCCTGACTGTTCTACACGAAGTGCAGTGGTGTCTCCCGACCGTAAATGTGCGGGATTCCTTCTATGGCGCTTTACCCCAGCTGCACATTAGAATTAACTGAGGCACTTTTACAAACTAGTCAGACCCAGACTCCATTCCCAGAAGCTCCGATTTCATTGGTCTTGGGTGGATCTTTAAAAAACTCCCCAGATTCTCTTAATGTGCATCCAAGATTGGGAAACACTGCATGGTTCTCTCCTGCATGAAATGACTGACTTGGATCTGCTGTGCTTTTGAAAGTGTATTCTTATCTCTTCCTTCACGCTCAGCTATCCCGACCTCATAACCATTTCTAATGTGCCATCCATAGCTGTCAAAAGAGAAGCCAAATCACCAGGTGTGCTATCAGTGACCTTAATTTAAGAACCATAAGAAACCGTGGATCTGAGAGCTTGGCTATTACTTTTTCCCTGAGAAACACAGTGCATCAGCTTGGGGATGGCTCTTTTCCTCTCTGTTCAGAAGCCTTTTATGCTTAGAGTGATATAGTTCTGACTGTTGGGTAAAATGAACATTACTGTGATTATCTACATCTTCCTTGGCTTAGAGGATGAAAATCAGGCAATCCTGGGCTTGAATCCTAGCTCTAGCACTTACTATTGGTATGCCTTTGAAAAAATTACTTCACTTCTCAGACCTAAAGTTGTTTCTTTTTTAAAGATTTTATTTATTTATTTGTGAGAGACAATGAGAGAGAGAGAGAGCAGGAGAGAGGGGAGGGTCAGAGGGAGAAGCAGACTCCCCGCTGAGCAGGGAGCCCGATGCAGGACTCGATCCTAGGACTCCAGGATCATGACCTGAGCCGAAGGCAGTCACCTAACCAACTGAGCCACCCAGGCGCCCAAGACCTAAAGTTGTTCTATCTGAAAAAGGAGACAATAGAGCCTACCTCATTGAGATGTCATGAAAATTAAGTAAAATAATGTACTTATAGTGCCTGGTACATAGAAGGTCATCACTAAATGCTAGTTCCCATCACCAAAACATACAGATGTTTTTAACTAGACGAGTAAACCTCCACATATGTAAGTCTTTATTTCTCCGATAAGATGAAAATGGGAAGATATTTAAACACATACGAAGAATTATAGACCACCCATCTTTTTCTTAAAAAATACCTCCCACCAGGCCTAGGTCTGTGAAGCATGAGGTAAGGAAGAGTACTGCATAGTTAGAGCTGTGTATCACTCCAACTGGATCTTAGAATCTGTACAACTTCACAAAGGATACAGGAAATTAACTAATGATAGATAGGAGCCTGGACTCCTACCAATTTTCAAAGAAGTGCTATTTCCAATGCCTGATATCTGGTATCACGATCACATTATTAAGACTCATGAGAATGTCCAACTCAATGCTTTCATTCGGACCAGGCTTTCATGTTCACTGCTTCCAGAGTGTTCTGGAACATCATCAGGTGATTTTTTGTTTCCCTTCTGGCAGTCGCCCTGGGTCGCCAGCCCCACGGTGATCTCACACTTGTTTACGTACCAGTTCTCAGGGCCTCCGCGGAAGTTGATTTGCTAGCACCAGCATCATTACTTGCTAAAACTGAAATGAGGTACTCAGTCCCACACTGGAGCGAGGAGATGGTACAGGCGCTGAGAGTTGTACGGCAGCTCAGCTCTGAAGAGTCGCTCAAAGCCATCACAGTATAGTTGAAAGCTCCTTCCGTGGGGGCCCATGAAACAGAGGCCTTCAGAGCACCACTGTCAAAAGAGACTTGAATGTTGGCAGGAGCTGGAGGACCTAGATTTTTGAGAAACAATTACGATTTTGCAGTAGCCTCAAGAACCCAAGTAAGATCTGGCCTAACAACCAATATTGCAGAGCTTGGAGGATGAGGAACCATGACAGAAGGAGAATTGCTAGTGTTTAGAGCATAACATTGGGATTTAGGGTAACACATCTGCCGTTGACTGTGCAAACTCATGACTAGCTATGTGACCTTGGCCATGGTATTTACTCTGTTATTTAATTTTTTTATCATCTGTAAAATGGATCTAATAAGATCAGTCCCTAGCACATAGAGATGGTAAATAAACATATTTTGAATGAATGAATCAGTGAATGCACAGCACAACAAGTGATTGAATAATTAAATGAAATTATAAATGTGAAGGGCCAAAAGGGCCATGTGGGTATGTTATTATTAAATGGTAGGTCAAATATTCTATTATTGATTGATGAAGCTGAACGGATTGGGCTTCAACAACATCCCTTCTTTACTTTTTATTTTTTATTTATTTTTTAAAGATTTATTTATTTCTTTTAGAGAGACAGAGAAAGAGTACAAGTGGGGGGGAGGGGCAGAGGGAGAGAATCTCAAGCAGACTCCCCGCTGAGAGTGGAGCCTGATGTGGGGCTCCATCCCCTGACCCTGAGATCATGACCTGAGCCGAAATCAAGAGTCGCCACTTAACTGACTATAGATTACTCTCTACACCCAACTTGGGGCTCGAACTTACAACCCCGAGATCAAGAGTCATAGGCTCTACCAACTGAGCCAGGCAGACCCCTCCCTTCCTTACTTTTGACACCTGCTAAGACTTTTTCTGTAAGAGCTTTTAGGTTATAACTATTTCTAGAGGAGCAGACTTTCATTCCATTCTAAATCAAAGGGCAGGAAGGAACATATCAGGTGTGATGGTCACACATTGAGGCAGTCATTTTAGTATCTCCAAAAACACTTCCCTCTATATCCTCAGAAATACGCCTTCCTTTTTTTTCAGGGTTATCCTCTTGAAAAAGCTTGAGGAGTGTTCTCTTGGGCTGGAAGGAGAGAAACAGGCCTCAGTTCTCAGAATCTGTGCTGTAATGAGGCCCACCTGGCCAGCATTCGCGATCTCCTTGCATAGCATAGGAGCAGAAAGCAGGACCTTCTGGACCCAGGGAAGGCCCCATTCGAGGAAACAGACTCAACAACTCATGCTCTGTCATGTTCCCCCAATAGGCCATCTTCACAGGACCCTTCCCCTGTTTCATGGTGAGCTTAGCTGCAGACGCAGATCTGCTCTGGGGGTAATTCTGGGCCCAAGGCTAGTAAGGGTCACCTGCAGCATTTTAGGACAACCTGCCCCTTCCCTCATGGGGCATGAGAGAACCAGGAAAAATGAGTAGAGTAGTTGGGGGCTGTTAGGGGCTGAACTGAGTCCTCTCAAAACTCACATGTTGAAGTCCTAACCCCTAGTGCCTCCAACTATCATCTTATTTGAAAACAGGTCATAGTAGATGCTATTAAAGTAAGATGAGATCATTAGGGTGGGTCCTGTCCAATATGACTGGTGTCCTTATAGAGACGGTTAATTTTGTGCTCACCACAGCAGCAAATACACTAAAATTGGAATGATATGGATTAGCATGGCCCCTGCACAAGGATGACATGCAAAATCATGAAGCACTTCATAAAAATAAATAAATAAAAATAAAATAACAAAAAGAGGAAGTCTGGACCCAGGCATACACTTCCAGGATGAATGCCATGTGACTGTGAAGGGTGCCCTCTACAAGTCAAGGAGAAAGGCCTGGAACAGATCTTTCCCTCACAGCCCTGAAGGAGCCACCTATGCCGACACTTTGATTTCGGATTTCTGGCTTCCAAAACTGGGAGATAATACATTTTTGTTGTTTAAGTTGGTTTGAGGTACTTTGTTTCGACAGCCCTCGCAAACTAATAGGAAGGCTAAATCTAAACTTTACACAATTTTGGGATGCTGGGTGGCTCAGTCGGTCAAGCATCTGCCTTCGGCTCAGGTCATGATCCCAGGGTCCTGGGATCAAGCCCCGCATCAGGCTCCCTGCTCTGCGGGAAGCCCGCTTCTCCCTCTTCCTCTGCCTGGCACCCCCCTGCTTGTGCTCTCTCTCTCTCTCTCTCTGACAAATAAATGAATAAAATCTAAATAAATAAACAAATAAATAAATAAACTTTACACAATTTTAAAACATGGGAAACAAATGAAGAGGAAGACTTAAAGAAAATAGTCACTTGTCAGAGAAGGCTGTCCCTGTCCCCAGCCAGGTGGAGAGGCTTCCTCCCGAGCCGCTCTGTGCCTGCAAATCCTTCTATTACACGGAACTGTCACCACTGTTTTATACATTGGTCTCTCCCAAGACACACTCAGTTCTCTGAGTGTAGGGATTATGCTTTAATTAATTTTGTGTCCCCATCAGCTAAACTACGTCCAGCACATAGTGGGCCCTTGATCATTGTTTCTGGGAAGAAAGAATGAATGAATGTCTAGGAAAAAGCCCAGGGACCCTGGTTTATCACAGACATCCTGACTTACCGGGCCCATCCTGAATCACCTTTGGGCCACCTTGCTAGGATTTCACTGGAGAGAAGTATTATAAAAGGCAAACCCTTTTCTCCCTGAATTTCTGTCTTGACCCATAGACCATGGGGCTTCCTCTCCCCTCCAAACTTGGGAAATGTTGGAGACAACATTTCTGGTTTCTTTCCACCCTTTCCTTGGTCCTCTCCAAGGGATGAAATAGTTTATCTGGTTGGTGAGAGTCTAGCATCTATTAGGCCACATTGTCAGTGGATGGCTTACTCTGCCTTGAGAGACAGAAAAAAAATCTCCCTCCTTCCCCCTCTCTCCTTCTCATTCTTTTAGCTTGTTGCAGCAACGCAGTGTGGGCTTCCACTTAGGAAGTGAGATCCCTTGGTCGGGGTACCCCTGCCATGGGGATGGGGAGAGAACACACACCATGCTCTAGCTTCTCAACCTTCAACTGGAGGGGAGGTGATAGGAAACCCCGTGCTGACCTCAGGTCTAAGTTGGAGGTTTTGGGAAATATATCTGAACCTCTGATTCCCACCACAGCATTTAGTGCCGTAACAACAGGAACTTTGTTTTGTTTGCTGCTGGATCTCTAGAATAATGCCCACTCAAAGTTGGCACACACTCACTAAACGTCTACTGAATAAATGAATTCCTGTTTGTCCCAATTCTTTTTGTTTATGCTATTGGTCTGAACCTAGAAAGGGTATGGGAAACCGGTAAACCTACCACAAATCATCTCCCGCTGTGTGATATTGAATGTGTATGCTTGAAAGTAAGTTGGCTATCAGGGAGGGAGAAGTCACGCTCTGTGTATGCTGAGCAGCATGTCTTTATACATGTAGTCAGCATTTAAACCACCAAAGAGGAACAGTCAAGGCACTATACATAAACTCATAATAAATTTAAATATCTATTAAGTGTACTTATCACTTAACACCACTCCTGATGGCTACAATGCAGAGCCCCTCTCATTCATCAAAAGGGAGATTGCTGGGGGCTGCGCTGGGAAGTCCTTACTTGTTCTCTGATTGCAGGTAGAGTCATCCCCAGGTGTTCCATTGGCATTCCATGCATAGGCCTTTATGGTGTAGAGAGTCCCAGCTTCTAAACTGGTGAACGTCAAGGAGGTGTTTGTGGTATTCTCTTTCCATATTCTACCCAAACCATTCGCTCGCATGATGGACACAGAGAATCCAATTGCCATATATACAGCTTCCCACTGCACAAGGATAGAGTCTGGACTTGGAGAGCTTACTTCTAGAATTGGTGCAGCCAACACTATGAGGACAAAAACACATGTGTTTGCAGTGGAGGATAATTCAAATTTAGGAACAAGTAATTTGAAGTTGATCATCCATATTACGAAATAATCATTTGCTTTGAAGGATTTACAGTAGAGTCCCATTAAATAATGGTTATCTAAATGTAAATTAATCATAAATAACTCGGCAGAGGAATGGGGAACAGAAAAACTCTACTATTAGGCATTACTTTCAACTGGAGGTTGGTAAGAAATTATATAAAACATCCCTGTATTTATAGTATAACTCAATGGGGGAAGTGATGGTTTATAATATTTTAATGTGCATACAACCTTTTGGAAATATGCCTAGGTACAACTTTATCAACTCAATTTAAGTAATGCTGATGACAAACTCTAAATGTTTACATTTTAAGTAAGTCAAAATGTAGTAAAATCCCTTCTATGTGTTCTTTATTTAGCATGATCTTTATGGATAACTGAGGTTAAAAACAGAAATCCCTTTTTCAGAGCTTTAAAAGCAGGGGTGTTCTTAAAGATACCCAGAAATGGGTTTTATTTTCCAAAGCATCTGGAACTTAAATACCACCTCCTCCACGGATATCTGAATTGCCAAAAACATCATTTGGTGGCTTTCGTCTCTGGGCCCTGAATCACAGGCACTCACATGACACAGAATTATATCATGTACTTGAAGCCTCCCTATAAGTGATCCAGGTCACAAACAATAGCTCAACAGAGGATAAGCATCCTGCTACCTGTCTTTGCCTGCTTCGGAGGTGAGGCTTGGCTTCTCCCAGTGGCACTGATGGATCTGATGGTGATTTGGTACAAGGTCGCAGCCTTCAGGCCTGTCACAGTGCCTGGGGAATTGGCCACCATGGTTTCAATGACAGTGTCTCCATCTTCAGCTGTGAGGAGGTAACTGGTGGCCCCCGGCACTGTGGCCCATTCCACAGTGATACTGTTGCTGATTTTTGAATAGGCCTGATCAATAGTGGGTATTTCGGGAGCTGAAAGAGATTTTGAAGATTTTATGTATTTATGTATTTATTTATTTTGGAGGGGAGAGAGAGCTCGTGCATGAGTGGGGGGTGGGGCAGAGGGAGGGAGAGAATCCCAAGTGGACTCCACGCTGAGCATGAGCCCTGCACAGGGTTCCATCTCACAACCCTTATATCGTGACCTGATGGAAATCAAGAGCCAGACACCTAACCAACTGAGCCACCCAGGTGCCCGTTGGAAGAGATTTTGAAGTTGTACATTAACTAGGATACCTATGAAGATTATTTCTTCATCATTTTACTTCTCAGACTAAATCATTTTCATGTCATCCTTTAGACATAAACTTTGCCCTCATTTTCTTTTTTTAAAAAGATTTCATTTTTAGAGGCACCTGGGTGGTGCAGTCGGTTAAGTGTCCAACTCTTGGTTTCAGCTCAGGTCATGATCTCAGGGTCCTGGGATTAAGCCGCACATCAGGCTCCATGCTCAGCCGGGAGTCGGCTTGAGATTCTCTCTCTCTTTTCCCCTGCCCCTCCCCCTCCTTGCACTATCTCTAGCTCTCCCTCTAAATAAGTAAGTAAATAAATAAATCTTTTAAAAAAAAGATTTTATTTTTGGGGCGCCTGGGTGGCTCAGTTGTTAAGCATCTGCCTTCAGCTCAGGTCATGATCCCGGCGTCCTGGGATCGAGCCCTGCATTGGGCTCCCTGCTCAGCGGGGAGCCTGCTTCTCCCTCTCCCACTCCTCCTGTTTGTGTTCCCTCTCTCGCTGTCTCGCTCTCTGTCAAATAAATAAAAAATAATGATAATTAAAAAAAAGATTGTATTTTTAAATAATCTCTACACCCAACGTGGGGCTCGAACTCACAACCCTGAGATCAGGAGTCCCATGCTCTACTGACTGGGTCAGCCAGGCACCCCTGCCCTTCAGGATCAAGACAAAACAGAGAAAAAGAAAGGCAGAGCTATTCTCCAGAAGAGACCCAGAAAGCTCAAACCTCTCATTCAGGAACAGGATTTCAAAAACAGCTTTTTCCCAGTTGCCTCTAGGATATTTTGCACTTTATATACTTCTCAAAGAGTTAAATCGGAGTGGGGCTAAAAGGGTGGGGCCCCTGCCTGGCTCAGTTGGCGGAGCACACAACCCTTGATCTCCGGGTTGTGAGTTTGAGCCCTACATTGGCTGCGGAGCTTATTAAAAAAAAAAAAAAAAAGAGTGGGATGTGATTGCGGGAAAGAACTGAGAGAAAGGAGAGAGTCACTGAGGGGCTTTATTCTAGAGGCTTCTCTGGCTTGGCACTCCTGAATTCCCAGGCCTGTTCTGCCACTGCTACTGTCCCCTCCCTGTCCCTCACCCATGCTGCACTGCCTCCTCCTGATGGCCAGGGTCCCACCCCTGCTGCGGCTATGTCTCCACCCCACACACCTGCACATTTCCCACAGGGCTTTAAAACTAAATGGAAGAAGGGGGCACCTGGGTGGCTCAGATGGTTAAGCATCTGCCTTCGGCTTGGGTCGCGGTCCCGGGGTCCTGGGATCGAGTGCAGCATCGGGCTCCCTGCTTGGCAGGGAGCCTGCTTCTCCCTCTCCTTCTCCTGCTCCCCCTGCTTGTGCTCTCTCTCTCTCTCTTTGTCAAATAAATAAATAAAATCTTTAAAAAAAGACTAAATGGAAGAAGAGGGAGAATTGAGTTGTTTTAGGATTGCTCCATTGTACTTCCGTATTATCAGAGTAGAACCATTTTTAGATTCTTCCACGTAAAATAAAAACAAACTTTATTCTCCCCTTCTTCATCAAAACATCTGCCCCAGCATAAGAATGAGACGCTGTGGCCCCTCATTTGGGCCAGGCCACAGTCTGTCTGAGGGATACGAATGCTTATGTCAAGAGTATATACATTCCTACACTTTGGGGCAGGGGTAGGAGATACAGCATGGTGACAAGATTTACTACATTGTAAAAATCCACAGACACAGAGAATGCCCTGGGTATAAGAGGTCCAAGTGGAAGGAAAGAAAGGTCACATAAAAATAGCTGGTTTTAAGTTTGGAACTCAGCCTTTTCTGTTCAATGATCCTGCATTTGTTGGGGAAAACCCCTATATACCAAATTCCAAACTAAACTCTAGGGCAAAGAGGAGAAAAAGTAAATACAGACCACATTTATGATTTACCAGTATCAACTCCCTCCCCCCAGCAGACCCCCACCGGCCAAATCCCAGTGTGCATGACACAGACAACCTTCTCTTTCTGCACCAATAGCCCAGAGAGTTGGCTTTGGCAGCGACTCAGAAATAACCATGCTGCAAGATTGAACAAAGTCTCCACTGTGCACTGGCCAGACATTCCTTGAACATCACCCAGGACTGTCTCCTTTGCCATCAAAAGAAAACTATGAAAGTTATATATGCTAGGGAAAAGCAGAAGGTGACTCTGCAGGAAGCATCCATGTCCTCTCGCCCCACTGCAGGATAGAAAGCCCCAGCAAGGGGCGCGTGGGTGGCGCAGTTAGTTAAGCATCTGACTCTTGGTTTCAGCTCGGGTCGTCATGATCTCAGGGTTGTGGGATCGAACCCCGCATCCAGCTCCTTCCTCTGTGCAGAGTCTGCTTAAAATGACCTCTCCCTTTCCCCCTCCCGGCCGCACTCTCTCTCTTTCTCTGAAGTAAATAAATAAATCTTTAAAAAAATATATTTAAAAAAAGAAAGCCCCAGCAAGGGCCCCCACTTTCATCCCTCCCACATATTCATCCCTTTTCAGCTACCAGTCACTTGTCCTGTGTTATTTGCCTTCTTTCCTCTATCTAACTTTGTGATGTCTTTTTTTTTTTAAGATTTTATTTATTTATTCATGAGAGACAGAGAGAGAGAGAGAGAGAGAGGCAGAAGGAGAAGCAGGCTCCCAAGGAGCAGGGAGCCCGATGCGGGACTCGATGCCAGGACCCTGGGATCATGACCTGAGCCAAAGGCAGACGCTTAACCATCTGAGCCACCCAGGCGCCCTAACTTTGTGATGTCTTGCGACTCCTTTTTCCTTTGTCTCTGCGGTTTATCTTCTCTCCTGTGAGGCCTGGCTGCATTCACAGAGTGGTTTGAGAGGCATCTGAAAGGCCAGCATGACATAGGCTATCTCCTCACAGGCCTGCCAAGGGGCCTGAGGGCGCCACAAAACTTGGTCCCTTGAAGTGAGCTGGGAGAGGCACCTTTGCTCAGAAGGGGTAATGCACGAAGCCAGTGTCAGCAGGATGAAACACAGGTGGAAACAGCACAGGATTTGGATCCAGGAGCTCTGGGTCGGAGCCCCTGCTCTGCCATTTACTTTTGCATGGGAACGTGTACAAGTCATTTAACCTCTTCCGGCCTCCGTTTTCTCCCTTGAGCATGCAGAATATTAATAATATCTACACCTTAGGATTTACTTTAAAATGTAAAATATCAAAAAAAATGTGAAATATCTACATCTTAGGATTGTTGTAATGATTAAGTAAGATAGTGTGTGCAAGGGCACTTTGAAAGGTGGGAAGGGCTGGTATGTACGTGTGTGTGTATGTGTGTGTGTGTGTGCGTGTGTGTGTGTGTGTGTGTGTGTGTGGACCAGGAAGAGCAAGTTTTGGGTTTGAAAGAGCTGACCACATGGCACAGCCATGGACAAGTACCAGGGAAGGTGAAATTCTGGGGGAGTCTGGGGTAAGCACAGGAGAAACAGATTGTCTGTGATCCTAGGGCAGGATATGAGCAGCAACAGCAGTGAGAGATCAACACCTCTGTACTATGCTTCCCTTAAAGAGATGAGAAGCCCGAGTGGGATGGGTAAGGCTCAGGAAATTAGCAGCAAGTCTTCCCTCTTTCTGAGTCCCGTGTCTGGCCCACTTACTGCTTTGATGAAAGAGATAACTTTATTCTCTAGATTTGCAAGCAACCCCTCTGATCAGTGAAAAGTAAAACCCTTTGCTTCTCAGCATCTGTGCATTCTACCAATTCATGGAGATCTAAATTAGCTCGCGTAGCCCCAGTGGCCAGATACAGATACAGAGCCTATTTCAGAGCTGGAAGAGAACCATAATACACACACCCAGAAGGAAACCTCCTTTACAATGTCAATAAAACACATCCCATTTATTGGAAAGCCAGGTTGAATCAATTAACAGCACCACCTCAGCCTGCCCCGTTCTTTCTCTCCAATGGTGTGGAGAGTGTGGGACTAAAAAAGGACCTGCTCTGAGGGCTCAGTGTGTCCCGTGTGTCCTGGAACCTTCTAAGAGACGCAGAACTAGATTTTGTCCCCCTAAAGACCACTTCTAAAAAAAGTTACTTTGTATCAGGCCAACCACTCCTTTTCATTGCTTCGTGGTCACTCCTGAAGATTTCTCAAGAATAAGGTAAGTAAATAAAAATAAAGCATGAGATGATTTTTGAAAACTTATTGCACATGCATCGATTTTATGGGTCAGTCATACATAACTATGACAAATTTTAATATTTTATTTTATTTTTTTAAATATGCCCAATTTGGGGGGGCACCAGATCTTGGGCTTGTGAGTTCAAGGTCCATGTTAGGTGTAGAGATTACTTTAAAATTAAAAAAAAATTCTTAAAAAAACCACCCAATTTTTAAATTGCCTTATTTGCACTTCCTTTCCTGTGGTATAGACAAAATAATAAATAAAAATTGTTCTCATTTTAGTTGAATGCCATGAGACTTTATTGTTGATATAATCAATATTATATGGGTCCTCCAGATAATCAAAATCTCATTGAATATACATTTCCTTTCAGGGGACTTAGATTTCTAGAATGGAGGAGCTGGGCAAGGTCTCTAGAGATATTATCTTTGCCTTTAGTCATTTATTTAGGAAAAATGATAAAATCTTTTCAAAAGAAAGCCTTTTTCTAGCTCTGAGTTCTCTTTTTCTGTGTTTTAAGGATGCACTATCAGAAGTGTAAAATCCTTTCTTATTAAAGTAGAGAATCTTGAACCTCTACTCAAAAACATTTCTGTTTTCTCCTCTAATTCTTCAGAAGACAAATAGGAAAAATTATATAAATTAGACTCTTCATTATTTATGCTTAAAACTTTATTTCTTTGACTAGAATGATAATCATCATAATATTCTATTGATGGCTAAATGTATTTGAGAAAATCCATGACTACATGACTTTCTATCCATCTCAGTACTCAATAGGAATATATTATGAGAATTTCTAAGTTTGATCCATGTATTTATTGTCTTACCAGTTAGATTCACAGTGTGAGTGCTCAGAAGATGTTAAATATTTTTCCTGGTATAGCTTTTCTATTTCAGGATAGCCCAAGAATTAACAATGGAAATTAACATCAAATATGGGGAGGGAAAGCTTGTGTTTCAAAAAATTTTACCTGTTTTTGCTGAAGCAACCTGAAAAGGAAAGTTTACAAAAATTAGAACCATGAAGAAAAAAACCATTTAGGGAAACATAAAACATAAATCAGAGCAGTAATAAATTTATCACATTTTAATGCATAATGTGAGCAATATTTGAATCCATACAGAGTATTTATTTGCACAAATCATTTCCCAAACTCAAATCTACCACAAAGGAATCCTAAATAGAATTTAGAGGCTAGAGGCAGATCACGTTACTATTTCATTTTTCTCCCTGAATCTGCCTATTGAACTAAGTCAGTGGCTGCTGACAGATTTTTCAAAAATCTTTGTTCTTAAAATATAATGATAATCTTGTTTTCTTTCTCTAGTAAACTGCATTAAATTTCAAACATGCAAACATATACAATCTTTGTACGGTTATTTTGTTTTTGATCTCCCACCCCCTAGTCTCTCAAAAAAAAAAAAAAAAGAAAGAAAGAGGTAATAAATGCCTTTTTTTTTTCTAAATAGTTGCAGGTAGGTTGGAATGTTGAACTCACCATTTTAAGACAGATAAGACTGAATCCAATCAAAGGCCAACATTTCTTGGGTCCACCAGCCATCCTGTTGGACATAGCCCTCACATGGCACACAACAGAGTGATCAGGGTCCTCTTTGGTCCCCAGGAGGGCAACACTGTTGGTCGCTGGGTTGCTGGGCAGCGATCCTGGGAAGTAGCTCCTCCCCTTTAGAGTGGAGCTGACCCGTTACTGGGGGGCCCTTGGAGACTGGCAGGGACGGGTATTGCAAAGACTGGAAAAAAAAAAAGAGTTGAAGAAAACCACACCAAACTGGCCAAAAAGCTACTGTAACCTGGGTTTCAAGGTAATATGTAGGATGCTCTCTTCTTTATTTTTTTAAAGTTTTTTATTTAAAAGATTTTATTTATTTATTTATTTGAGAGAGAGAGAGAGAGAGAGAGAGAGAGCACTAGCAGGGGGAAGGGCAGAGGGAGAAGAGCAGACTCCCTGCTGAGCCTGAGGGGTTTGACAAGAGGCTCGATCCCAGGACTCTGGGATCATGACCTAAACCCAAGGCAGACGCTTAACAAACTTAGCTACCCAGGCATCCCGCTCTCTTCTTTAAAGAATTTGTTTCGAAATAAAATTTTATAAAACTGCATAGAAAACTGTTGATAGAATGGAATGATCGCCCTAAACTGGGAGGTCCTGACCAGTTGTTTTTTTTTTTAAGATTTTATTTATTTATTTATTTGAGAGAGAGAGAGAGAGAGAAACAGCATGAGAGGGGAGAAGGTCAGAGGGAGAAGCAGGCTCCCCGCCGAGCCGGGAGCCCGATGCGGGACTCGATCCCAGGACTCCGGGACCACGACCCGAGCCGAAGGCAGTCACCCAACCAACTGAGCCACCCAGGGTCTTGACCGGTTTTTAAGGTTCTTGTTCACCTTTATTTTGTCATTCTCATTGTTGTTGCAGTCCTGCTGTTGGAGCAATTTGCTGCAAAGCTTCAATATCTTTTTTTTTTTTTAAAGATTTTTATTTATTTGACAGAGAGAGACAGCGAGAGAGGGAACACAAGCAGGGGGAGGGGGAGAGGGAGAAGCAGGCTCCCCACTGAGCAGGAGCCCGATGTGGGGCTCGATCCCAGGACCCCGGGATCATGACCTGAGCCGAAGGCAGACGCTTAACGACTGAGCCACCCAGGCGCCCCGCAAAGCTTCACTATCTAAGATGAAAGGTCAGGGGCTTGAGAAGCGCGGGAATTGGGGAGACGCTGTTTAAGGTCATAAACTTACAACGAGCAGAGAAATAAGTCCTGGGGATCTAATGGACGGCATAGTGATTACAGTCAACGATATTATATTAGAAACTTCAAAGTTGCTAAGTGACTAAATCTTAACCATTCCTAACACACACAAAAATGATGAGTATATGATGTGATAGAGGTGGTAACTAATGCTGTTGGAGTAATCATATTGCAATACATGTACCAAACCAACACAGAGTACACCCCAGACTTACACAATGTTATATGTCAATTATATCTAAAAAAAAAAAAAAGGAAGGGGCAAAAGGATGTCCCTGTGCAGAGAAAGAGAGCAGAGTCCATCCCCCGTGCCACCCTGTAGTTCCAGTACTTTTAACCCAAACACTATAATATTTAATTCTAGTAATAAACAAGTATGTAAATGAGTAATAAACATTATTAACTGGCTTGTATGGAATCACACAAGTATTACGTGGTGGGGCTGGGATGAAAATTCATCAGTCTGACCTCTGTTTCCAACCAAAATAGGGTAAAAGGGAGTGGATTTACCACCCATGACTTCAACTTATTATAAAGCTACAGTAATTAGGACAGGATTAATTAATTTTAAGGATTGGCATCAAGATGGATAAATCAATGGGACAAAAGAGATCAACGGAACAGCATAGAGTCCAGAAATAGACCCATACATGTATAGACAATTGATTTTCAACAAAGGTACAAAGGTAATCTAATCAAGAAAGGATAGTCTTTTCAACTAATTTTACTGAAATGATTAAATAACCACGTGCAACGAACATGATCTTTGATCCATATCTTACACTATATAAAAATTAACTCAGAATGGATTATAGACCTAAATATGACCTAAAACTATAAAACTTCCAGAAAAAAATAGAAAAAAAATCTCTGTGACTTTAGATTAGGCAAAGATGTGTTAGATACCACACTAAAAGCATGATCCATTTAAAAATTTGATAAATTGGACTTCATCAAAATCAAGAAGTTCTGTACTATTAAGGGAATGGAAAGACAAACCACAGATGGGGGGAAATATTTGCAAATCACATATTTAATTTTTAAAAAATATCTATGTATATATATGTATATACTCTCAGAACCTAATAAGAAAACAAACAACTCAATAAAAAATGAGCAAAAGATTTGAACAAACACTTCACATAAGATATATACCTGGACATACTTGTGTGTACAACATACACCTAGTATATGACCCACTCATTTCACCCCTAAGTATGTACCCAAGAAAAGTGAAAGCATATGTGCGTACAAAAATGTATATATATACACAGAGAAAGACAATTACCATACAATCTCACCCATATGTGGAATATAAGAAACAAAACAGAGGATCATAGGGGAAGGGAGGGAAAAATAAAACAAGATGAAATCAGAGAGGGAGACAAACCATTAAGAGACTCTTAATCATAGGAAACAAACTGAGGGCTGCTGGAGGGGAAGGGGGTCGGGGGATGGGGTCATGGGGGATGATGGGCATTAAGGAGGGCATATGACGTGATGAGCATTGGGTGTTATATAAGACTGATGAGTCACTGAACTCTACCTCTGAAACTAATAATACACTAAATGTTAATTAATTGAATTTAAATAAAAAATAAATTTTAAAAAACCCAAAACTTATATACAGGTATTCATAGTAGCATTAATTTTTTACTGTTTTTATTGCTCATGTTTATCATTAAAATTTTGAAAAAAAACAGAAAATGAAAGGGAAAAATACATAACCCTGGATTATTAATTTTTTTAATCTCTCTCCTTCTTTATGTATACTTTGTTGTTACTGTCATAGTTACATATACAGAAAATGCTAGTTTTCTGTGTTTGACAATGACAGTAAAATAATAGACATTAGTATGTTCTGTGATCATCTTTCCACAACATTAAACACATGCCTATATTTATCATTCTTTAGTGCTAATTATAACTTATGTAACCAGGACTTTAGGAGGTTTCCAGGTTTATTTTGCTCTTAAAAACAAGAGGGCAATAAACAACAGATAGAAACTTGGAACCCAGTGGGATGCTCAATTATAAGAATCTCAAATAGAATATTTACATAGCAGTACATGAGAAGTGCCATCTCACAGGGATCATGAGGTGGAGAAAGAACAGAGGGCTGTGTGTTTGGAAGAACTGTAGAGAAGGGTGTGGAGCTGAGCCTAGGAGATAGTTGGGGTTTGTTTTGTTGAAAGTAAAGGAAGAGCATTTCATAAGGGGGAAACAGCATGATTCCTTTTTATTTATGAAACGATAGCTCTTCTAACAATGATGCATGACCATGCAAAGCTTTTTTGTGTGTTTTGTTTTTGTTTTTGTGAAAACTACCATCCAGTTCTATTAATCTGGGAGTGGATCTTTTTTTTATGTGGCCCATCTTACCAGAAACGTGCGATTGTTCCAATTCCTATTTAAATGAGCTTATATATCAGGCAGAAAGCTTTTATTACAAGATAGCTCATAATTTTCCAGAAGGTATAAGTACTCCTGGAGTTACCAGAAATTTTGTTTCTCTTTTTGTAAACTTAATTTCACAAATATCAACTTTTTCTTTCTTAAAGAGGCCAGTGAACTGTTTAAGGTTAATGGGAATCTTAATTTTGAAAGTTTTCAGTTGTCGTTTTTTTTTTCTTAAGTGAATCTGGCTGTGGCATAATTGAACCCATGTTTTTGCCACTGTGAAAACTTAATAGTTGAAAAAGTTTCCAATGTTCAGGGATAAGTTAGGAAAAATATGTCCCGTAGTATTTATTTGATGCATACCATAAGTAGCTACCAAGATACAGGTATTCTCTGAATATGACTAAGACCATGAGCATTGCTTCATATTGAAACACAAAAAGCCTTTTCCCATGAATGGTTAAACATGGACTACTACCCATCAATAAGAAGGAATAACAAATAAACTATTGATACACACAGCAACTTGGATGAACCTCAACAAAATTATGCTGAATGAGGAGCCAGTCTCAAGAAGATACATACCTCATGATTCCACTGATGTAACATTTGTGAAATAACATAATTATAGAGGTAGGGAACAGATTAGCAGTTGTCAGGAGTTAGGGAGAGGGGGAGGAGGTGGGTCTGGATATAAAGGGAGCCTTGTGATTATACAGTTGAGCATCATTGTTTTTTAAGATTTATTTATTTATTTGAGAGAGACAGAGAGTGGGGGGGGCAGAGGGAGAGGGAAATAAGCAGACTCCCCACTGAGCAGGAAGCCTGACGTGGGGCTTAATCGCAGGACCATGTGACCACGACCTGAGCCAAAATCAAGAGTGGGCACTCAACCAACGAAGCCACCTAGGCGCCCCCAATTGAGCACATCGATTGTGGTGATGGTTATGCAAGGCTATGAATGTGATAAAATTGCCTAGATCCACTCACAAGCACATGGGTGTTCCTGTGCCTGCATAGCTGGTGACATCTGGATAAGAGCTATGGATTGTAGCAGTGCCAGTTGCTTGGCTTTGCTACTGTACCATCCGTGTGTAAGATGTTACTACTATTGACAGAAACTGGAGGAAGTGTATGGGATTTCTCTGTGCATTTCTTTGCAACCTCCTGTAAATTTATAATTACTTCAGAATGAAATGTTTGAAAAAGAAAAACAAATCTTTCCCAAAAGGACTAAGAAGGACTAAGAAGAGAGACTACACAGTGGAGGGAGAGCTTTTCAGAAAGAAAATTTCTTGACTGCACTCCTGATCTAGGCGGGCTCAATACTCCTAAGAAGCAAGTTAAGAAAAAAGAAAAGAATAGTTATCAGGAGCCTCTGAAAGAAAGGTACCAT